TATTATATTAGAAACAGTCCTCGAAGCTCTATAACCCCCCCACCCGAGTTTGTGTCCTATGTGATGGTTTGTGTTTATGTTCCACCGTAGCTCAACATGCCGGAGGCACAGCGCAAGCTCGCCTAGCAGGTATTGTGTGCGAGTTTGTGGATGACACAGCCACATTTTTTTTCTTGTCTCAACGTACCCAACAATATGTCTGACTTCACAATTGATGTTGTGATATTTCTGTTTTTAGCCTTCCTTTGGTATTTGTCATGACCTTCTTTACGCATTCAGTATTACTGAATATTAATTAGGGTTAGTCTCAATAACAATTTACAGTCATATGGGCATTATATGTAGCACGTAAAGGTGCACCACATTTCAAATTGATTGTGATTTGTAAAGGGTAATGGGCATAGGAAGCACACCCTTACCGTGTTGTAAGTCAGAATTTGTTTTGTGAAAGCACTTTCTATGTTTCATCTGTATGCCAGCTTTTTATGGGAATCCAATGCACAGTTTTGTTAGTTGCAGACCTAGTCTAATCAAGGCATTGTTGGTTTTGGTGTTTTCATGTGATTTGTCGACAATAAGAACATTTTAGAATAATCCTTGCAGGACCGTGGTGAATATCAGTCATAATGCTTTTTTAGGTTGAAGACATAATGATGAAAGTAGATTATATTTCTCATTGTGTGATTTGGGAGAACCCTATACAGATTTCCAGTTAATCAAAGAGGTAAAATGTTGTAATGAGTAGTATAGTATAGTAAAGTATAATATATTCACTAATGCCGATAATGCAGGCAGGATCAGCTGGAAAGTATCACAGTATGTGCGCTTTTTGGAACACACATTTTGGACTGTTAGCAGGTCAATAACCTTAACTCATAGTACAGATCTGAAACTGTTTATTCTCAGTTTAGCATTAGCATCACACTCACCAGAAGAGGACAGGAAATAAAGTTTGCAGGGTTTGGTTGGCTGGAGGGAGGCACAGATTGCGGCTGGATAAATCCCAATTCAAATTCAGTGCAGTTGGAATAGCTGTTAAAACGCCTGTTGCAATCTTACATTATAGTGGTGTTACTGTCATATGACTGTCCTGCCATTTGCAACCCCTGCCAGGACACTGTGAAGTCCAGTGGTGTTCCTCAGCTATCATAAGCATGTGCCATTGCACCAAAATACAAAAATAAAATAATAAAGTTTTAAAAAGAATATGGTTAGCTAAAAATGGCACAAACTGTATGAAAGCTTCTCAATTAGCATTAGTTTGAAAATTAGTCTGATTTCTACTTCAAGCAAATCACCCTCCTCCATATTGATTTTTTGCTTCTTTACTTAAATAAAAATAAACGTGTGCAAAAATGGTGAAAATACAATACAATGCATTTTTCTTAAATTTGTGTGTTGTGTTTTAATGAATCTTTGAATCTTTTTGGCCCGCTTTATAAAACATTGTCCTCAAAACCTATCCCAGACCAGTGGATAACTGTCCATCTGGTCCCTGGTATATAATTCTGTGAAGGCTGGAAACTGTCTGGAGCCTGGTCACTCCTTTTTCACATTCTCCCCAAACTTCCTTACTCCAGTACTTTTGACTTGTCATAGTCGTGACGTTTGAAAGACACTCGGTTTTATTTTGAAGGTTATAAACGGAAGTCAAAACTTTTACTCCGCTCCAGAGTATTTGCATACGGAACGTGCTCTGTCGCTGACTTCCGCGATAACAGCTGAACTCCACAGGTCGTTGGTTCAGTGTTGCTTCGGTTGGCTGTCGTCTGTAGCCTTCCTTTGAACTGCCACAGCGGAACTCGTCATAACAGCCACTGAGAGGATTCTGCGTGTGTCCATCTGAAAAATTGACTATAAACCCAACATCAACCATTTTTGGTAAGAAGGCTGACTTGCATGAATCCACCCGCATTTGTATAAACGCATCGAGTTTATTTTTTTTTGTTAAAGAATATTCTGTTATACTTTTTGTCTGCACGAGAGAGGGGAAACCAACGACCCGGCTGTTGGGAGTAAAGTTAAGACATACCGTAACAGTTACAGTTAATTGATAGTTTGTCTGTCAACTATTATATTTTCCTCCAATGCAAACATAGAAGCTATTTTTCATTTGTCTGTATCGTTAGCACCTTGTACGTGTAGAGTTTTGTGTCGCATTTTTCCACAAACAGTTTCAGTTGGGCGAGGCTCCGGCTAATCCATGGAAGTTAAACTGAGGGACAATAGCCTCCCTGTTAGTATACATTTGACTAAATGTGGTGTTAGAACTGCCCACATACCTTGTAAATATTGTACCAAGGTTGCGTGAAAGAATATCCACATAACACTGCAGGTTGGATGGGAAGTTTTTGTATGTCTTTCTGTGGCTGACTGCAGCACACAGTGAGATTTAACATAACAGAGCAGCAAGAGGCTAGCTAATTAAAGAGTTCCCTTAAATTCAGATGTTCATAATCTGATGGTTATTTTTACTTTGCTATAATTAAATTTAAAACAATACATTCTCACACTGTCACAAAAGTTTATTAACTTAAGATGGTTGTCACAAACATGATAATACATTTCTGGTCTGCATCTTTTTACTCTGTAAAACCAGATACGTTTGTTTAACCCCAAAAAATGTTGCAACTAAAACATTTTAAGTAAAACTAACTCAATTTTGTAAGATAAAAACATTTTTGATTAAGTGGCTTTAGTAATTAAAAAAAAGAAAACAAAATACCTAGTAAAAACTATTTAATCAGGAATATTTCTTTTACTTACAAAACTAAATTAGTGTCACTTAAAATTACTAGTAAAAGCTGCTTAATCAATAATCTTTTTAACATTAAAATTGTCAATGTAATGCATTTCAATAATTTCTTTGAGTTAAAATAACTTTTTTTTACATTACAGTGTATATGAGATTGGAGTTTTCATTCACGATAAGTCACAAAAATGAAAGGCCCAGTCTGTAACATTGGATCTATTAGCATAAATAGCTGTGGCTCAGAGGTAGAGCGGGTCGTCCACTAATTGGAAGGTTGTTGGTTCGATCCCCGGGCTCTCCTGGCACGGTGTGCCGAAGGATCTTTGAGCAAGATCTTGAATCTTCCAAATATGTCCTATGCATAGCATTCAGTGTGTGAATGTTATAGAATGAGTTTAGTTCTGTTCGATGGACTTTGCATCGCTACAGTGTGATGGTGAAAGGGGTGAATGTGGACGTAGTGTAAAAGCGCTTTGAGTGGTTCGTAAGACTGAAGGGCGCTATACAAGTTACAGGTCCATTTACCATTTACCATTTACTATGACACAAAGATTGTATCAGATATAATCACCTGAAAATATGAATCTGTGTTTTTATCTACACAGTGAGCTCTTCTTGGGGCTCTGTCATGTTCAAAGTTTGGGCTGTATTCAAATGGTTGCAATCTACAACTTCACCACTAGACTTCACTAAACCTTTTTTCTTCCAATACACAGTTCTTAGTGTCAGCAGTTACCACAACTCAAGGTATCTGCTGATACTGACAATTGGTCTGATATCTGATAGTAAAAAATACATGGATAAAAACATCCATTGTTTTGGAATTGTGAGGCCAAGAAGTAGATTGTAGTGGACAAAGTGAAGAAAACATACAACACAAAAATAATGTCAGTGTAAATTATCAGGGACAAAACTTGACCACTACGAGCTTTACAGTGTCATCCTGTTTCTATTTGTCTTAGTCAATTCAGGCTTTTCAGAATAAGGCCCTGCTTTTTGGAACAGTCTATGTAGAACACCCTCTGACTTTAACTTGCTGTCTGTGTTTCCACAGCACCATGAGTCTACGAGAGATCAGTGAGAATGTGAAGCTTGCCCGCGAGTACGCCCTGCTGGGAAACTACAGCTCAGCCAGTGTTCTCTATAATGGATTGCTAGAACAAATCAAGAAGTATGTGTACACTGTGCGGGACAGCAGTGTTCAGCAGCGGTGGCAGCAGGTAAATATAGCATTAAAAATGTATTCTGATAAAACTTAAGAGATTGAATTAGGAAAGAGTCCTGGCTTTTCTGAGGTATCTGTGTTTGTTTGTCAGTTGTGGCAAGAAATTAGTGAAGAGAATCGACAAGTTCAGGACATAATGTCGACACTGGAGAACTTTCAGCTGGACGCAACGCCTGCCAAACCTAGTAACCATGATGATTGTGAAGTACGGCCTGTGCACATGGAACAGAGGTATTGCAGTTGGTTATTTACATACAGCTTTTTCTTTTCAGCTTTCTCATTCACTGCTTAAACATACAATATGTAACTTCTGCCTCTATGTGGGTCTCTCACATCAAAACAATAACAAAAGACGAAGTTTGATGATGTTGTAAAGTAGCGTGGGCTCATAGGAGTTGTTGTCTTCACCACCATTGCCGTCATTGCAGTCAACTTCTCCTGGTTAGGATTCCTTTAGTGTTCACCGTTCAGGAGGTTTCTACCAAGGAACCCAATCATCCTCAGAGATCTTCCCTCTCCAAAACAATTGGACCCGCTGATTAAAATCAGTAAAAACACTGAATAAAAAAATTAAAATCAGTGTTTCTCTGAAGCTGTTCGGCTAACAGATAACGTCCCGAAGGGGCTGCCAGCCGAGCTGCTGAGTTGCTAACGTTAACTCAGCTTATTTCTCTGATAACTTAAGATCCAGACATACTGGAGTATTTTTTACCTGGAGCCAAATTATCCACAGAGGTCTCCTCCTCTCCAAAACAAACGAACCCATTAAAACCAGTAAAAACACTGAATAAAGCAGTTTAACCTTAAAAATTAGTGTTTCTCTAACACAAAGGACAAAGGATGTCCCGGAGGGGCGTCTTGCCAAGCTGCTGCTAACGTTGGCTCAGTATGTTTCTCTTCGAACTTAAGATCCAGATGTCCAATGACTAAAATCCTTTATCCAGTTAAAATATATAGTTAAAATATATAGTTTAAAAACCACCAAGATCTTGAAAGTGTATGGTAAAAATGTGGCCTAAAACTGGATAAAGCTTAAGATGCACAAAGGGGATATGGCGCCATTGACAGGCGACTGGTGAAATGCAGCGTTACCTGAAT